CGTTTCCGTTGGAAAATATGCCGTTGGAATCGTCAAAATCTAAGAAAAATTCCAATGGAAAACTCATTCCAACCGAATATTTTTGTGGGAATTCCAATTCCATTAAAAAATATTTGTATTGGAACTTTCCGTTGGAATTTCATTATTTTGTTTAGTGAAAAATGCATACTTATGTTACATAATGTCATATACTTTCATTTAATGGTTCTTTAGAGCAAAACATTCTATTTGGAAGGATGGTTGTCTGTTGAAGAAAGTACAAGAGTATAACTATCTAACTATTAGGTTGCCTAATAGTAACCTTAAGGGTACTAAATTTATAATTGGAAGCACACTCTTTGCACGGTAATACTCCCCTGCCCAATTTATAATTGGAAGCACATTCTTTGCACGGTAATACTCCCCTACCCACGGTGGGCACATGTTAATATACCCACCATTTTATGTGGCATGCACACATTGGTGATGTATTTTTTTGAACATATTAACATCACCAATGCACAGTGCATGCTACATAAGCGGTGGACATATTAACATGTGCCCACCGTGGGTAGGGGAGCATTACTGACTCTTTGCATTATAGTACTATACTTTAGTCCAAAGTGAATCAATCCAGCTCACTGTAGATTTGGAGTGTCTTTATTTACCTACCACTCTAATATAATTGCCATTTTTGAAGATTTTAAAAAGATAAATCCAGCCTGTAATCTTCTCTAGTGTCCAATTTGTGGTGGACCCTTCACACTCTCCAGTCTTATGTAGTCATAATCTCACTGCTATCAAAATCACCACCCAACACATTGTGTAAAGTAAATGTGACCATAATTTGTATGCACTAAAGTAAAACTTTAACAAGTTCTTTCAGTTTCCAGTGTTAGCCTCAAGATTCTACACATCTTTCATAATTTAATAGTTTTTTCCATTTTCTTGTGTGTGTGTTTTTTTCGGTTTACAGTCGGGATGCTGCAAGCCTCCAGTGATGTGTGGGCTGACGTACTCGACCCCAACAACTTGGGTGGGGACGCCAAACGTAGCAGCCAATCCCGATTGCGCCATCTGGAACAATGACCCCAGCCAGCTGTGCTACAGCTGTGATTCGTGCAAAGCGGGCCTGCTCGGGAACTTGAGGCATGAATGGAGGAGAGCAAATGTGATACTCATTATAACAGTGGTCGTCCTAATTTTCTTGTATGTTATAGCTTGCAGTGCCTACAAAAACGCCCAAACCGAAGAACTTTTCCGCAGGTACAAACGAGGTTGGGCTTAAAACCAAACATAGTAGCTGAGAAACTAATTCCTCTCAAGTCGAGACATGAGGTGTAGCATGCTGTACGAGACGCTGGTGTTTGTGTTACGGGGTTTGTGTAGTTTGTGTTCTTGCTTTTTTCACGTATAAATGTTGTTTGATGTTGTGTTTCTTGAAGAGTTTGTAGATATTCTTTTGTAGATTGGCTTTCTGCTGTGTTGAGAGTGTAAAAGTACAACATGTGGACCTTTAAAGGTCTCAGATATTCTTGACTTGTAACATGAAAAAGAATAAGAATCTTTTTTTTAGTCAAAACATCAAATTTTATATATAACTCAAAATGTACGTCCGTATGACCAACGGGTTACATATAAGATCCTCAGAAGGACAAGACCCCATCCAAGAAATCTAACAGAGGACACTACCACAGGTCCCTACATGACCAATCAGGCCTCACAAACTGAAAAAGAAAAACAACCAACAAAAGAAAGAGAAATAAGAGTAGCATAATAAATAGTACATCAAATCGAACCCCCCGATAGAATAAACAATGCTCCAGGAATGTAGCTGGTCAAGTAATGCATAAATATCTTCAAGAATAACGGCAACATCCATATCAAATGGCATCCTCGCAGTCATCTTCTTCTTCAGCGTTTTGTCCTCTATTTCAAGCTCGACTTCCTATCATCCGTCCTTGCTTCCACTAAATAGCCAGTCTCTAATCTGAATCAAATTCTTCTCCTCTACTCCTCTGAGTGGCTCTTTTGTTGAAGACCATTCCTGCACTACCACCTTGTTGATTAAAGCCTTCTCATGAATTTGTGCTCCTGCAACTGATGATCCATTAGCACTGAGAGCAAGAGCTTGCTCCCCTACTCCTTGTACATCAACAAAAGTGGAACTCTTCTATGTCTGTGGGTTGGTTGCAACTTCAAACTCATTCCATTCTTGATAAGCTAGCATCACTAGTTGTCTTTCTGTGCACCAATCCTTCTTAAACACCCACCCATTTTGGGTCTTTCATAACCACCATAGCAAGTATGTGGTTAGTGAAACCTTGTCCCTGCCATTTCCTTCAACCAGCAACTTACATATTTCTGCCCACCATTCCTTGAAAGCCACCTCTTTCCTCTGCAAACTGCTCCACCATATACCTGCCAATTTTCACACTTTTTTAGCTCTATAACAGTAAAACATTATATGTTCCAATGATTCCTCCCTTTCCCCACACCCCTCACAAATGCAATCAACCCTCATTCCTCTCAGACCCAAATTAACTTTTGTGCTTAAACAATTGTGGACACATCTCCACAGAAAATTCTTGATTTTATTCTTAACAGGTAGTTTCCAGATGCATTTCCACATTCTTTTAACATTAATCCTACCTACACTACCCTCCTCTTGACCAGCTTCTATGTTTTTCTGACTTTGAATGAAGTGATAAGCTGATTTCACTGTGAAAACTCCTTTTTTTAAGAATTTGGTGGGCTATCTGAGGTTGGAATGTTTGCAAAACTAACTCCCTATCCCACTATGCTCTATCCTCCACCATCAAATCTACCACCTTATGTAACCTATTCTTATCATAAGCATTTCCCTCCCCTGGTTTAAATCCTGGAATATTTGGTATCCAAGGTGAGTCCCATATATCCAAAGCCATCCCATTCCCTACTGAAAATCTAGTCCCCAATTTAAAAAACTTCCTAACACTCAGCCACCCTTTCCACATCCAAGAATAAGTGTCTTTTTTAGCATCTTCCATGATATTTTGGTTGTAAAAATACTTCTCTTTAATAACTCTACTCATTAGCAGATTTGGCTTGGAAAGCACTCTCCAGATCTGCTTTAAGATAAGGGCTGCATTAATCCTCAAAATCCCTAAAGCCTAAACCCCATTCTAATTTAACCTTAGCTAGTTTACCCCAACCCATCCGATGAATTTTGCTACCTCCCTCCTCAGACCTGCCCCACCAAAACTTAGCAATTGTTCTACATATATCATCACACACCCCTTTTGGCAGCTTATAAACAAACATTACATATATAGGCATGGCTGCCAACACAGTTTTAACAAGAACTTCTCTCCCAGCCTCACTAAGGAATTGATTTTTCCAGTTTGATATTTTAGACACCACACACTCTCTCACAAAAGAAAATGTATCTTTTTTGGATTTACCAATACCTAGCAGAAGCCCCAGATATTTAGAATATTTAGCTATGGCAATACAAGGGAAAAACCTACATATCACAAATTTAGTAGATTCAGGAGTATTTTTTGAGAAAAATATACTAGATTTAGAGAAGTTCACTACTTGCCCAGAGGCATCACAATAGAGCTTCAAAATATAGGTTATATATTTTGCTTGCTCAGGATCAGCTTTACAAAAAAGCAAAGCATCATCTGCAAACAAGAGATGAGAGATAGAGGGGGAATGCTTACTAATTTGCATCCCTGATAAATACTTAGTTGTACAAGTATGAGAGATAAGATTAGACAAAACCTCAGAAGCAATTATAAACAAATAAGGGGAAAGAGCACAACCTTGCCAAATTCCTCTTGAAGGAATAACCTGACCAGATATTTGCCTCCCAACATTAAATGAAAAAGAAGAAGAGTTGATGCAGGAATATATCCATCTCAAAAAAATATCACTAAACACCATGTACCTACACACCTTAATCAAAAAGCCCCATTCTAGCCTATCATAAGCCTTCTCCATATCTAGTTTGAGAGCCATGAAGCAACTCTTACCTTTGTACCTAGTATTTAAGAAGTGAATGCATTCATTTGCAATGATGCAATTATCTAATATCTGTCTACCAGGCACAAAGGCAGCTTGAGACTGTGAAATACAACAATAGAGGACTTCTTTAAGTCTATGGGCTAGAATTTTGGCAATTAGTCTATAGGTAATGGTACAAAGGCTTATAGGTCTACACTGGGTAATGATTTTTGGTTCTTTTATCTTTGGAATGAAGGTGATAACTGTATGATTAGTGGCCCTACGGATATAAGCTGAATTAAAAAAAAAATAGATATAGCTAAATACAAATCATTCTTAACGATTTCCCACGAATGCTTAAAGAATAAAGGGGAGAATCCATCTATACCTGGAGCTTTGTTGGGATCCATGGCCCATAATTCTTGCTTGATTTCCTCTTCAGTTACTGGCTTGGTGAGTTGTTGATTCATTTCCTCAGTTATAGATCTGGGAATTCCCTGAAATACTGCTTCATTCCAAACTGGAGATTCAAATTTCAGTAATCTAGCAAAGAAGTCTTCCACCTCTCTAACTACCTCTGCTCTGTTGTTACAAGGCACTCCAAACCTACTAATCAGATGCTCTAGGATGTTCCTTTGCCTCCTTTGCTTCACACATGCCTGAAAATATCTTGTGTTCCTATCTCCTTCCCTCAACCATCTAACCCTTGACTTTTGCTTCCAAAATAACTCTTCCTCCTTATATGCTTGATGTGGTTTAGCTCTACACTCCCGCCATGCTTCCTAATCTCTCCACCCCCCTTGTTTTCCCATTTCCTCTAACCTGTCATTGCATTCCTTGATTAGGCATCCAGAGTTTGACTTCTGTCTCACAGACCAACTCAACAATCTATTTCTAACATTTCTCAATTTCTTCTGGAACTTATACGATACTGGCCCAGATGTCTCCACCTTCCAGGCATCAGATACACATCCCTGAAATCCTTCTAGCCTAGTCCACCTGTTATCAAACATAAATTTGCCCCTCCTGGCCACCTCAGAATTTAGCAGAACCAAAATTAAAAGGTTATGATCAGAGGACATCAGAGGAATATTAAGAACTTGGTATTAGGGAATTGAAGAAAGCATTCAGGAGAGAGGCATATCCTATCAAGCTTCTCCTCTACAAATCCAATCCCTCCTAAGGTTTGACCAAGTGAATTTGGGGCCAATCAAAGGACACTCTACCACACCAAGGGTTTGCAAAAAATTCCTAAAATCTCTTAAACTCCCCACACCTCTCACCAACCCACCCCTCTTATCCTCATTAC